GTGCTCATGTATCCAGCGTCTCTAGACGATTACAAAGGATCGGACGTCACGCACATTTTGACAGGGACGTCGGAAATCGGACACATCCACTGGGACGAGAGTCAATTCATTCACTAGAATGACTAGAATGACTAGAAAGGGCACCCATGGGGGGTGATCGTACCATGCTTGGACAAACTGAGCGAATAGGCTCAGCCTGTTAGCACCAAGTCGTGACACTGACAGACAGAGGCGCCACCTGCCCCTGGCCCCCTCTCTCTAGCCGTAAAAAAGCCGTAGAGCCGAGCCTCTTCGTGACGCCCGCTTCCTTAGTAAAACCCAGGCCCAGCGAGCCGCGCGCTGAGCCAGCCCATGAAGTGCCACAGACCAGAGTGCAGAGACCTCAGCTGGATAGAGGTAGGTCAGCGCCCGGTTTATTGAGCTCAAAGGCGCAGTGAACACAAACAACCGCCTCGAGCGTACCACCGCTCACACCTGACACCACACACGAGCGGGGGCGGGGCGGGGCGAGGAGGGGGGGGGGCAGAGGAGAACCGTCAGATTTTCAGGCGTAACCTGAAGTCCGTCGTGACGCGCTCAATCGCTCCCAAGCAAAAGCCTGTGGCTCTTCCGAACTCGTCGATATATTGCGGATAGACTGCTCTTCGCGCATAGCATGCAGAGTCAGAGATGTCGCAGAAAGGCTAAGTACTCGAGTACGGGGAACTGACCGCATCAGGGCGGGCTTCCGAATCCTCCGTGAGCACCTCCCAACCTCACCCAAACCAACTCCCAGACACAACCTCACCCAAAACAACACAACTCATCACCCACACGACCTAGATGGTCCCTAGCTCCCTAGCACGCCCACAGGTGCCCACGCGGGGAGGCCAAGCAAAATTCCTTGTCACGTGAACGGCGCCTACCCAGCGCTGACTTCTGACTGTCGTTGCTGTCTCTCCCTTCTCGACTGTCTGTGCTTGTGGTCGTGGGTCCGCGGTTGTGTTTTTGTGTGAACGGCGCCTTCTCTTGTGACCGCCCTTCGGTACCTTCAAAGGGGAAAATGGCATCGTACCTCGAGCGAGCTGGCGCGTGTGTAGACCGCGCCGGCGGCCCTGGGAAGTTCGACACCGCGTCGACGTCCAGACCTCTCCTTTGCCGCCGGTCCTGCGACGTCGACGCTTTCTGCGTCGGCTACAGCGTTTACGCTCCGCTCGTCGGAGGTCAGGTCGAGTGCAAGACCTATAAGGCGCAAGCACCGGAGGACGCGATTGCGGGCGCAACGCCCTCGAGCAGCACGACGTGCTACGAAAAAATATATTCACCGCCTCCGCCGCCGCCGCTCCCGCCACTGCCCCTGCCGTGTGTCTTTCCCGACGCGCTGTGCCTTGGCCAGAAATGCGGAGACTGGATCGACACCTCCTGCACCAGCCCCTCCCTCCAGGGACTCTGGGCCGGCCACACCTGCCCGCATTGCCGCGGCTGCTGCTCCGTGCAGCCGCCGCCCTCGCCTCCCGCAGCCCCGCCGCCGCCGCCACCGAAGCCGCCGCCGCTGCCGCCTCTCTCGCCGCCGCCGCCGACGCCGCCGCCGCCGCCGCCGCCGACGCCGCCGCCTTCGCCTCCCGCGGCCCCGCCCTCGCCGACCCTGCCGACGCCGCCGACGCCGCCGCCGACGCCGCCGCCGCCGCTCGCCCCACCCCCACCCTTCTACGCCGACTTCGTCGCGAAGCTCGACGGGACGGTGCGGACGGGGTACGAGACCGTGGCGCCCGTCGTCAAGGAGCTGGGTGGGGAGTTGGACGCGCTGCTCCCTGATCGGTGGGCCCAGAAGGCCGCCGAACACGGGAGCGCGGTGCGCGAGTGGAGCCTGCGCCCCCTCGGCGACTCGCTAAAGCTAAACTTGGACGACCGGAACCGGACATCCACTCCGAGTGCTCTCCCCCCTCTCCTTCGCGATCTCGCTAAAGCTAAACTTGGCCAAGCCATCCTCGCCAGTTCCCCGCTGAAGTTGGCGCTGGGAGTAGCCGGTGTGGCTCTTCCTGGCGCTCTGC